TGGACCTGCCTGGACTGAGTCTATCAGGTCGATCTCAGTCCTCGGGGGTGGCCTTGATCTGGAGGTGGTGGGAAAAGGGGGTGGGCTGGGGGGAAGGGGAGGGGGCAGGAAGGGGGAGAACAAGGAAATCTGTGGCTGTTATGTAGAACTGAATAGTATTGTAAAATAAAACAAATAAAATAAATTTTAAAAAAAAGAATGTTTTTTTTTTTTAACCAATGTTGAATCTGCAGATGGGAAATCTCAGGATACAAAAGGCTGACGGTGAGCTATAGAGGCTATATATGTATATGCATATATTTTTTTAAATTTGTTTGTTTGCTTATTAAGTTAGCTAGTTATTTGGAGACAGGGTCTCACATACTCCAAGCTGGTCTCTAACTCCAGATATAGCCAAGGATGGCCTTGTGACCTTAAGCTTCTGACCCCACTGCATCACCTCCTGAGTGCTGACATCCCAGATAAGCACTGCGGAGACCTGGCTTGGCCAGTGCTGGGGTTGAACTCGGGCATTCAGCATGCTGGGCAAGCATTCTACCAACTGAGCTACACCCTGGCACTCTGAACGCAGTGCAAGCAAATCCACGGGAGCCGCCGCGCATTTGTGGGGTGCGCGTATTAACTTCCAGAGATGACCGTGACACGCACTTGGAACCTCATGCACACGACTCTTACTAATTCTGTCTCAGTCCCTTACATGAATTCTCTGAAGCTCAGAGAGCTGTCCCTGGCGTTTCTTTATAGGTAAAGTGCAAGGTCACCTTCTCAATGTACCTAATTATATAACTGTCAGTAAAGCATGTGACTGTGACTCCTGCCCACCAGCACCGTGCCACCCAGTCTCGGAGGGTGTCCGTGCCCTGAGCGGCAGGCAAGCCTGCCTTCCTGAGGCAGAGCTACGGTGGAGACACTGGCGGGTGACAGCTCCATTCTGAACCCTGCAGGAGTGGGTAAAGCTGTCGTTCCAAGAGCACAGAGAAGATGTGCGCTCCCGCATTTCAGTCCGCCCCCTCCTGGCACCTGCTAGTGGCAGATCCATTGCCATGCTGGTGGCATACACCCAGGAGCCACGGGAGCCCGCCCTGCCCGCAGCACCGCCCTGGAGGGAGACGAAGGCCAGCTCTTACCTGCCTGTGCAGCTGTGATGAGGGCCGTGTTCCCTTCACTGTCCTGCCAGTTGACGTCAACGTGCGGACATTCTGCTAAGGCCACCACGGTATCCACAAAGCCATGGTAGCACGCCACAATAAGGCCAGTCTAGGAATGAAGGGGGGAAATGGGTCAGAGGCACACCGCCCAAGCGTCGTCAGTGAGCTCTGGGGACCCTGAGGGGAGGAGCTGTCCTCCAGGAAGCTGGAGGAGAGGCAGCAAGCACCTCAAGTCCCCAGGTCTCAGAATGTTCAACTCTGCACATGAGCAGAGTCCATCCCCATGAGGCATAATGTGTAGGGACATCGGTGAACGGCTGGACTCTGCCCTCAGAAGTGTTTCCCTCTGATGGGAAAGAAAGTGTACACATGCACACGCACGCACACAACACACACACACACACACACACACACACACACACACACACACTGCCAGCTTCATGTACATTAGATGGCAGTGTGGAGCAACACAGGATGTGAGTGTGCGGCAGGATCCAGGGTCTGTGCAGACTCACACGGAGTGTTTGCGCCCAGTTTTGAAGGACACAAGGGGACACAAGCCAGCAGAACAAGGACAGGAGACAACCTGGGCAGAAAATGACAGGAGCAAAGCCAGACCTAGGTGTGTCCATGAGGGGATTCCCAGGTGGCCCAGAGGCTGGGGCAGAGTGAACTGAGGGGGTGGTACCCAAGCCCATGGGGCAGCCAAGAGCTGGAGCACTTTGGACAGTTGGTGGTCCGTTTTCAGTATTAACTATGTATGCTGGGCAGAAATTGGCTCCAGGAGACCAGAGGAGCAATGTGCTGTGGAGGCTGAGCAGGGGACAGCGGCCCGCAGTGGAGCCATGGGTAGGAGACATGTATGGACTCTCTATCACGAAGATAGACTTGCTGTTAGGATGGACTCCGGGTGAATGAGAGGAACACAAGAACGGAGATGACACCAAAATCTCACCCTGAACAACTGAGTGGGCATGTCCACCACCAAACCAGGAGGAGGCTCTCGGGACAGCATGTATTCTAAAAGGCAGCCATGCCGACCACAGCACCCTGCATCTGAGAGGAGAGGACTGTGGAGCACCAGAGAGAGGTCTGTGCAGGGTGATTTTGGAGATTACTGACCAAATATTTGCCAGATTATCAAGAATATACAAGCTGGGCAGTGGTGGCGCACACCTTTAATCCCAGCACTCCAGAGGCAGAGGTAGGTGGAACTCTGTGAGTTCAAGGCCAGCCTGGGCTACAGAGCTAGTCCTAGACAGCCAAGGCTACACAGAGAAACCTTGTCTCAAAAACAAAACAAAAAAGAATAAATAATAATAAGAAGAACCTCCTCCATTGCTGGTGGGAATGTAAGTTCCTGCAGCCACAATGGAAATAGGTGCATAAGTTCCTCACAAGATTTAAAAACAGAGATCCCATCTGACCCAGCTGTAACCACTCCTGGGTACATGCCCAAAGGACTCGACATCAGCACCTGACAGAAATCTCTGCACATCTGTGTTGCACAGTGCTATTCACAGTAACCAAGACAAGGACCTAGTCTACATACCCATCAACCCAGGAACAGATGAGAAAATGTGGTACAGGGGCTAGAGAGATGGATGGCTAATAAGGCTCCCAGCCCCCACGTGGCCCTTCACAATACCCATAACTTCAGTTATGGGGGCTTCTATGCCTTCTTCTGGCCTCTGGAGGCTTCTACACATACATGGTTCCCATAAATTCAAACACATACATGCATGTGAAATAAATCTTTTAAATAGAAAGAAAATGTCATAAAGAGGAACAAACATACATCATTTGAAAAAAAAATAGAACTTGGAAGCTGTGGTTTGAAAGAAAATGGCCCCCAAAGGGAGTGGCACTATGAGGAGGTGTGGCCTTATTAGACAAAGTGTGTCACTGTGGGGGTGGGTTTTGAGGTCTCTTTTGCTCAAGTTTCCCTCACTGTAACAGTCAGTCAACTTCCTGTTGCCTCTGAGTCAAGACGCAGGACTCTCAGCTCCAGCACTGTGTCTGCCTGCACGCTGCCATTCTCTCCACCATGATGATAATGGACTGAACCTCAGAATCTGTGAGACCCCTCTGTAGCTAGAGTTTTCCTGCCTTGCCCACAGTCAGGACAAATCTCTGTC